AGTCTATCGCAGCCACCGGACTAGGGTATTGACCGGGGGTAGAGGTGTTGTGACCGCCATGTGGCCGTGAGGGGTGCTCTTCCTGAAAACAATCGGGCGCAAACCCCTGTTGCATCCAATTTCGGTAAACCTTAACCGCGTTCAGGAGGGGCTTAATATGCGGAGATGACCTTTTTTTGTTTTTTCTCTCGGTCGGAAGAATTTAGTATTTGCCGCGTAGAAGTTTTAATTGTTGGGATAAGGTTATCGGAGGTTTGCTACCCCGGGGAGACGGGGTAATCCGTGTATTGATATTATGAAGCACTGACAACTGCTACTAGTACGGGTAGTCAGTTAACTAGTTAGTACTACCTAGGTAGTGGCATGTGGTTATATGCAATGCAAAGTAGCAATAGTAGTCACTTCAAGTTGCTTTGTAGCTTTATGTTTACATTCCAAGGTTATCCACTCGGGAAGAATGGACTTGGCAACGTCGACACTGCAGAAACATCCCCCTGTATATTTCAGCCACGATCTTTGACCATAATACTTTCTGCTATTATAATGACGCTTAATGCGGTAAGCCCTGTTTGATCACCGTGCGGCAGATTGCATGAACTTATGATGTTGTGCGGCCTTCTCCAGACCCAACCCCTCTCTCCTCCCCGCAGGTACATTGATCGAAATCCTGCGGGGAGCAGAGCATGGCAGATGGCAGCGCCTAGGTGGTTGGAAATTATTGCTGATCGTACTATGCTAATTTGAACTCGTTCTCTGTTCTCTTTGTATAGTGAACCGCCGGTGACTCTATACCTGAGGATACATAGTGGCAATGACAGGTGGGTTTGTCGATCATAGAACATTCTTGTTGTGTCGAACATGATCTCTAAAGAAAATATTGAGTCACGATGGAGTCTCTCTCCATGGAGTATTGTTGAATAAAAATGACATTGACCAATACCATTGTGAGTCAGATTGAATCACAGCGGGGCGTGAGATCATCGCAAGTCTTGGCATCACCTGCCACCAAACACACAACATCCCAGCACTATATCTCTTTGCATCCTTCGCCTTCCTTCGGACTTTCAAGGATTCTATCTGCCAGCCAATTGGTAAAGTCAGAATTTATCTTACGGTATTCTACTCTCATTCAAAACCCCGTCCAACCGGGATTTTCCTCGCACACCGCGGCCAGCGCACCGCAGATCCGTCCTGTCGATCCTGGACAAGGTCACCCGATCTCTGCGTTGGCAGTTCAAACGTTACCCTGAAGCACTCTCTTCGCCCCCAGTCCCCCGTCCACTCGGCCCTAGTTAGGCCCATCACTAACATGGAGAACGAGTCAGTTGACAGCCCTGCGGGTCCGGAGCCCCAGGTCCATCGTAAGTTCATCCCCCTCCTTCACCCTCAGCCGGATGGTGGACCCCACGATCAATTTACAGAGAAGCTCTGGTTCGTGGTCTGAATCCGCTCGTTTCGTATTTTGAGCCCCTCGTGTGGCAGCTCCATAATCCCATCCATGGCCATGCAACCCACCCATCGCGTCCGCCACACTCCTCCCGTCATGGCTGCCACCCCTGCAGGTGCTTTTGCCAGCGCGCGGAGCGGCCATTGTGTATTCTTTCTGGACTGGACCGGGGGCTGAGCGGACGGGCAGCACAACGGCCCGCAACCTTTTTGATCACACGCTCATGTTGATTACTCCTAGAATCTGAACAGTTGCCCTCGACTGATGAGTTGGCAGCCTCGACGACTGCACATGGCGTTGAAGCCACATCTTCTTCGAGTACTGCTCGCCAATCATCTTCCCGGCGACGGGGCAAGTGCCGCTATTTTGCAACCAAGAAGGGTATGTTTCTTGCGCAAGGTTTATGCTGTTTCGGATTGAAGTTTGTTCTTTTGCTTTGCGCGATCGTTGTGATCCAGTATACGAGAATGGAAGGTGTACGTTCCGAGTCCTCGCTTGTGCTTTGAGCAGTACGCATTTGAGGAACTGCGAATCGGACAATGACTACCGATTGCGGCTAGTTGTATGCCTCCTGCCCATGGTTTGGATGATGGAGGGAGCAATTTTGTACACCCTGCTTTGATTTGATTGATTTTGCTGCGATGTTACAAACACTATTTGCGGAATTTCTATCTTGATTCTAATTTTGATCCAGGTTGCCGTGCTGGTGCCGAATGCCCATTCATTCACGATGCTTATGCAATTCAGCAGAACACTTCTCGATCTGATCAGACGTCCAAATTGCAAACGTCGGCTGATAGCTCCAAAAGTACCGACTCCAGTGTAGCCGCTGGACTCCAGAATCTGAGCGTCGGTCCAGACCAGCCGAAGGGAAAGCAGGCAGCATCACATGCTTCCCAGCCTCAACGGCCCGTCTCGAAGGTCGAGCAGAATGACCCAAGAGAGTTCCAGATGAATCAGTTGAGACGGCGATATCGCCCAGAGGAGAAGTCTGATGATAAGGGATCCACATTGACTTTTGGATTGACGCCTTCTGATCCAGACTTCCCGTTCGAGTTGGATAGCTTACAATGTGTATTGCATATTCCAAACTCATTTCCAGGCACAGGGCGGCCTACACTAACCGTCACAAATCCTGAAATGGAACCGGCGTATCAGCAAAATATCAGCAAAGGTTTCGATGATGCCGTCGATTTCACATTGCGAACCAATGGCCGAGGGACCCTGCTCAGCTGGCTCAACGTTCTCGATAGGCAGCTCGAGCGACTGCTGACCACCCTGGAAAGGGGACCGAAGCTTACGTTCGTGGCCAATCTCGGGAACAACTCTGGGAGTCGAGAGCCGATTTCTAGCGAGAAGGTTGCTCCCGCCCCGGCAAAACTCCCCGAGACTAAGGTCCATGTCCAAGCCCTGAAGCCAAAGCCAGTGACTTTGCGACCAACATATACGGCGGAACAAAGAGCTTCAGCTGAGAAACGGAGGTCAACGGACACAAAGCAGCTCGAAGCCCGCCTGGGAAGACTTCCTCTGTTTCAGAAACGATCAGAGAATTCCTTCATCATTCCCATCCAGCCGAACAAACCAGATCGTCTTCCCAGATCGCTTCAATCTGTGAAAACAGTGAAGCTTCTGATTCCTCAGCTGTATCCTTTGGAGCACAGCTCAATTGAGATCCAAGGAGTCGACAGTCCAGAGGCGAGATCCGTGGAAACCGGATTCGTCCAATGGTTCGAAAAGAACACTCAGATGAACTTGGTCTCGCAGATCAACTATCTGGGTAGTAATATGCATAGCTTTGCGAAGACCCCCCTTCCCGAGGTGGCCGAGCAAATGCAGCATGAACACATTCAAGAGGATGAAGAAGAAACTTCGCAGCAGGTGGAGAACGAAATTTCTGAAGAACCTGTCGGAGATCGAGATCGACCTCATCTCCACGTCATTCCACGTCCGCCCGAATGGTCGGTTCAGGAGTCGCATAGTGATAGCGATATGACCGATGACTCCAGCTACGACGAGGATGAGGAGGAAGACGAGGAGGGCGAAGAGACAGATGGTGGCGCCCCTGTTCCCGTTGCTCTGGATACTCCTGGCCGGGGAGTTGCGCTTTCATTCCCATTCTTGGAGCTCTATGGAATCGAGTTGTTGGAACTGATTCGCCTTGCGGTAACTATCAAGTGCGATCGTTGCAAGGACTCTATGGATATCAAAAACGTTCCTCATTTGAAGGACGCAAAGGATACTCCCAAGATTGAGTCATGCAAGAAGTGTTCTAATGCTATGAGCATTGGTAAGTGATATGTTGGTATCCATTTTCTGGTGACAGAGCTGACCAATATACCAGGTTTCCGGAGACAGTTAATGCATTCCCATGCTAATCGGGCTGGATATCTGGATCTAGAGGGCTGTACAATTGTGGATCTTCTCACAAGGTCGGTTTTCCATCCCGCTCGTTCACTTGCCTCGATGGAGACATCATGCTAACTTGAAGAAGTAACTTCCTGCCTACTTGCGCCGAGTGCTCTACGGAATACCATGCTCCTGGTGTGTCTGCCGTGCGTGCTGAGAGTGCTATGGCTATATGTCGCCATTGCCATCGCAAGATGGTCTTCAAGATTCCTGAGGTCAAGTTCCTGCTCGTGTCGAGTGCCTCGGGTAAGTCCATGCTCAACCTCCAGACGGGAATGCGACCGTTAAGGTCTTCAACTAATGAAATACAGTTTCTTCACGTTCTGGTCTTGCTCTGAAAAAGAGGGTGAGTAATTCTGCCGGCTATTTCTTTGTCAGTACTAATCTTTTCATAGCCCAAGGAAGTACTCGGTATCGTTGCTGGACAGGAACTACCTCGACGAGGCCGCTGCCAGCACTATGGTAAGAGTTATCGTTGGTTCCGGTAAGTAAACACAATCCCTTGTCCTCGTTTTCTACCTTTACTCACCATCAACAGATTCAGCTGCTGCTCTAAGGTTTTCCGCTGTGACAAGTAAGACAATACTATGTTATCCTACCCTAGATTCAAGGAACGCATACTCACAAAGCTCAGGTGTCATGATGCGGAAACAGACCATCCAAATGAGCACGCAAATCGCATGATTTGGTATGTCATTCCACACTGCAAAACCCCTCCTTCGATCACTAACACAGATTAGCGGCTTCTGCTCGCGAGAGCAAATCTACAGGCCAGAGAATTGCGGAATCTGCCGAGCAACCCTCATTGGAAAAGCGGGCAGTGGGTTCTGGGAAGGTGGAAAGGGAACGAGGAACCGCGCACTTATGAGCCGCAAAGACCCTCGAAAGTACAAACGCCGAGGAGCGAATCCCCCGGGCGGATCGAGCTCGAAGAAGAAATAGACCTTGATTGATTCCATTGTGGAGAGTTTGGGTAAGAATTTTTGCCATATTGTATATTGCATTTTTTCTAAAAAAAAATCGCATCTACGGAGTCTTAAACTGGGATGATCACAGTGTCATCAATGTTGATATGTATCCAAGGAAGTTTATGAAATTAATGTGAACAGCAAAAAGTTGAAAATATCTAAAAGGAGTTAGGCATCGCTCAAAGCTCTAAACAGACCTCCTCAAATGGTAGCTCGGGCAGCTCTCTAAAATCGACTTGGAAATCCACACTGGCAGGTTTCGAGAAATAATCGCTAGAAAGCGGGGAACTCGAATCAATCAGATCATCCAGAGAGTAATTCTCATCTGGACTTGACGCATATGTTGGGGTTCGAACCATTGACTCTGCTGCATCCTCCATAGCAGCCCATTCCCTGTTCGCGACACCAGTAAAATAGAAAGCCATCCCTAAACCAAGCGCCCCAGCAACCTCCAGAACACGCTGACACCAGAGAAATTTCTCCCGGCTCAGTCGTTGGATATAGGTTCTGAAGACATTGCCAAGTGTTCCAAAAACAATGTGCGTGCCCCATATCCGATGCATCGGCTGCATGCAGTAGGGAATGGCCCGACAAACCTGGTCGGTATAATAACTCGCCATAACGAACGACTCATAGCTTGACGGGTCGGTGGGGAAATGATCAGCAGGGAAAATTGCGCGATTGGCAGATACAACCATAATCTGCGCTCTGTAGACAAGCGTGTGGGCGAAGTTCATGGCTGTCCAATAAAGGATGTGAATTCTGGCATTGTCCAATGAAGTAAACCGGTAGAATGAGCCAAAGGGGTTTTCCTCGAGCAGTGTTTGATTGAATAACTTTGTGTTTTTCGCTTCGCAGACTACCGGAGGGCCCCCAATGAGAGCTTCTTTTTCGGCATACCAAGATGTCATTCGGTCACGGTATTCCACTATGGTTTGGAGTAACGCAAAACAGGCTTTTGAGCTAACTTTTGGGTCATCGAGGGGTAATGTGTTCATGATTTCGATCGTGTCAAGGAGAGATCGACCTGTGAGAAACATGTCGAATAGGTCGTCTAAAGGTGTCCGAGGGCATGGGTTTATCAGGTGAGTATTGTCATCCCCGGGCCCTCTGACTGCCAAAATGCCATATATCTGCTTGTGTTAGTTAATTTTCGGTGAGACCAAAGGGAAAAGGTATACTTACTATTGCTAGTTTTGCATAGCTGCTGGAAACAGCGTTCATTAGCGGGTTGACGCTTAGTTTGTCTTGATTTTCTAGAAGTAGACTCCTCATTGCCTGCATATGGAATACCCAGGGATCGAAGCCATTCCCACAGCCGTGAACATCATGACCGCTTGGGCCGGTCGTCTTTTTCACCGCTATGCATTTCTAGTTGAAGGGACCCATTAGCATAGAGCACAGTAGATAATAAGAGGTGCTATGTTCTATTCTTGGAAGAGGAGTACAATAGCGCCCCACTGGAAGGCATTTTTACTTACCTCAATCATTTGGAAGATGACAGTAGCGTAAAGGGATTCTTCACTGTGAGTTTTCGTGCAAAGCATCTTTGACATAGACCGCATCGAAGAATTATAAAGTTGAATGCCGTGATGAGATAGACGATCATCACTATTAATCCGACCGATGTACACACAGCAAATCGCCGAGAGTGCGCGCTGAAGCATCGTGGTCTTGTGCGGTAATACTTCGAAGCTTGAGATGAGGTATCGCCAAGAGTCCACATGGGTGTCTCCATCCATGCAAGCAGGGAAGTAAGCACCCATGAACGTGGCGAAAAGCTGTTCCCGTATCTCTGGGACAGAGTTGATGTCGTCGAGACTTTTCGGCGTTGCCGTTTTTGTGCGGCCGACATTTTGTACTTGCATTGTCTTTTGGTCATAACTGATGAATATGCGGTTTGCAGAGTATCCGCCGCATTCAATTCCTCGCTTCATGCATTGTATGCAGGCGGGTATTTGCAGGCCACACTGCGCGAGAAAAAGATAGGAGTCAGCCCTACCAGGTACACTGCCAAGCCATAGTTAGAGAATACGAACTTTAATCTTGCGCTTTCTGCAGGTCAAGCATCCCTTAGATGAATACGGAATTCCTCCCATAGTGATTTCAAGTTGGTGTTTTTCAGGTCCTAGTAGTTCAAAGAAGCTGGGGCCTCAATGAGATGCGTCTTCAAACTCGTAACAAAATATTATGACTTCCAAAGTTGCAATGCTTGTCTGCCCCCATACTTAAATAATTTCCTTCTGCGGCTCGCGGGGAGACTAAAGTCTTCAGCCCGCTTCTCTAACTCCACTCCAACCATGCTCGTTGACGTATGGAGCAATCATGTCAAATCATTGACATCTAGTTGATTGGGGGTCGAACAGGTCAATCGCAAGAAAATTCCAAATGCGGTAACCACATCGAGTAATCGAGTTGTAGCTGAGAAAACTAAGCCTAAAGTAATGCTAGCATGCGCATAACGCGTTGATCCTAGACGGGAAAGCCAATCGCATCGATTAGATGCAAGCCATAGTGGAGAATTGACGGGCCCCAGAGTGGGGGCGATTTTCATGATCGAGGCTGAGAGATTTCGGTTAAGTCTTAGGCGGGGCCCAACGACCCCATAACTACTCACTACTCAAAGAGAACGAGAGGATAAAAAAAGAAATAACAGGTATCATAATGGTTCAAGTTAAATGAGCTGAACACGCCTGAAGAATGCAATCCAAGGGACCGACCCATGCCCCCTCATCCATAACGCGCAACTAAGCGGAACTTTTGAAATCCAAACCCCCGCACAGCCTCAAACGAGGTTTCCGCGCAGTTCTTGTTCCCGTTCGATGGCCTCGAATAAAGACTTGAAATTTCCGGCTCCGAATCCTTCAAAGTTGTGCCGCTGGATGATCTCAATGAACACGGTGGGACGATCCATTAGGTGCTAAAAGGAAAGTCAGATGTTAGTTGGCAGTGCTTGTTTACAGGGGGCGTTTTTTTGTGGATCTCCCACTCACCTTGGTAAACAGTTGCAGTAGGTAGCCTCCCTCGTCAAAGTCAATCAGGATGTCCAGGCTTTTGATGGTTTCAAAGTCCTCCTTTAGGACTAGGCTGGACTTCTTAAGGCGTGCCTTCATGTCTGTGTAGTACGTCTCCGGAACCTTGATGAACTCCACCCCACGGGCCTTCAGATTTGTAATGTCACGGATGATGTCGTCCGTCATGAGGGCGATGTGTTGTACACCAGCCCCATTATAGAAGTCGACATACTCCTCAATCTGAGATTGCTTCTTGCCCTTGGCAGGCTCGTTGATCGGCATTTTCACAATATCGTTCGGTGACGACATGACAATGCTCTTCAGGGCGGAGAATTCTCTAAAATAGAATTAACATTTGGCTTTCCATAAACAGACAGCTTCAAAGTCAACATACGTGCAGATTTGGTTGTCGTCGACGGACCAGAAACGGTGAAACCCGAGTGCTTTCTCGTAGCTGCACACATGTTAGTTCAGACCTATCTTCTGGAGCGAAGAGGGCAATGAAACGGGGAATCTTACTATTCACACACTTTGTCCATCTCGTCCCAATCCTGATTACCAACACAGTGGTCAATGCGCTTCAGTTGAACAGCCGGTAGGAACTTGGACACTGGGTCCTCGGGTCCTGTTTCCGCTCGATACCCGGGCAAGAAAACGCCACGATACCCACCCCGTTCGATAAGAGTGTGGGTCGTCTGGCCGTAGGTTTGAATCGTCGCAATTTTGACAGAACCGTCTTTGTCCTTCAAGATCTGGGGGGGCCGAGACAGATTTGGCGCCGTTCCGAGTTGCGGCAAGATAAACCGCGTCGACGTCGTCAACTTCGAAGGCGACATCCTTGACTGCGTCACCATGTTGCTCGAGATGGGCGTGAATCTCACGCAGTTCATCTTGTTCCTCGGGAGTGAAGCGGTCGAGTTGGTTCTGCGAGCGCAGTGGGGATGTCAGGATAAAAGTGATGTTTCCGTTGCGCACAACGTGGGAGCAAGTGTGTCGGCAGCCAGTCTCGAGGCCGCGGTAAGCGACTCGCTGAAAGCCCATGCGAGTGATATAGTAGGTGGCTGCTTGCTTGGCGTTGCCAACGTACCAGTGAACGGAGTCATAGCCGCGATAACTGGCTAGGGAGCCGGCGTCGTTTGATACCGAAGGTGGCGGGCTATTGGAAATTGCCGAGGGGGCCATATCGATGATATCGAGGAGGAAATCGATGAGTAGATTCTGCTGTCTTCTTCAAGATTTTGATTCTGAGGATACTTCTCGGGTTGAAGTTGCTGGAGAAAGTATTTAGAAAGATACTTCTGGGAAAGTCGATACGGAAGAAAGGCTGTTCGCTACCAGATGTTGTTTTATAGGGACCATGAAATGATCCCTCGAGTAAGCGCAAGCTTTGACGGATATTCTTACCATTCCTTCGTCGTCATTCGCGCTTCCATGGCGGGTTGCCCCAATAGCCGTGGTGGGTATCCTGCACTTTCCTGAAATATCCGGTAACAGCCGGGCCGCGGCCGAGCTCAACGCGGAGCTTCTACATTGAGATGCAATGGCGACATCGACTTTCTCCCTTTGCCTTTCTTCCATTCACTAGTTTGAGAAATTCCTGACAAGCTAACAATAATTTCATTCTGGGACATTTTCTCTTACACCTTCAGCCATATTCCTGAAGACCAAACTCTACGATCACCAATCATCATCATCGTCCACCAGCATGACGACTGTCAATCCAGCTCAACCATCTCTGACATCCAATGATGCGGCCGTTCTTCAAGCACTGTTTGACGCAGAGTCATCTCCATCATCCGGAGTAACGATCGAATCAACGCGACCTTCCTGGCCTGCGACCGTGAACATTTCCGAAACAGACCTCGCCTCCCTGAAGACCCGGGAAGCAGACATAATCCGCAAAGTCCAGGGCGATGAACCCAGTCAAGAGGTCGTGAAGTCTGCGCTCGACAATATTGACAATCTTCTCCGCGAGTACCCTTCCTACCCACCCGCCTACACAAACCGCGCACAGATGCTGCGCCTACTCATCGACCTCCAATACAAACAATCCCACCCAGAAGCCCGGAGCGAGTCCTCGGACGACGCTCTCTTCACGCCTGAAGCCGATTCCTTCTCCTCCCAAATATTTACAGATCTCGGTAAAGCAATCACTCTCGCCACGCCCGCATCTCCCGCAGATTCTTTGTCGACAGTTCAAGCGCGACTTCTCGCCGATGCGCACACACATCGCGGATATTTGCTTCTCAAAGCAGCACGGGTGCTGAAGAACGGAACTCTGTTGTCAGAGGGAGTGGTTGTTCCAGAGCGACTTCGCGGGCTAGACGCAGATGAGCTTGAGGAGATGGCTAGTCGAGATTTCTTTCTTGGTGGGCGATTTGGGAATAAGGTTGCGCAGCAATTAGCCGTACAGACAAATCCGTATGCGAAGATGTGTGGAGCCATCGTTAAGGAAGCTATGAGGAAGGAGGTCGAAGGTGGCCAGGATTGTACTTAGATCTAAAATTCTTCTTGTAGCCTCACAAATGGGTCGATGGTTGCTTTGAAATTTTGTAGACCTAGAAATTATCAAGTTTGACCGAAGAGTGCATATGTTGAGATGAATGATGAATTGATCTGAATATCTTCCATTGCAATCTTGTGTTCGAAAGGCCTTTTATTCCCCCTCAAGTGTCATCAAGTCATACTAAAACTATTTACACATACAAATTCTGATCTCATTTACTTCTTGTTCGGGTTCACGAAGTGGCGCTTCAAAGGCGTCCAGCTATGCTCGTTGTATTCTTCCTGGACCTTTTCGCAGGTCTTCAGACCCCACTCCGAGACGCCGACCATCAACGAACTACATTAGAAGGTTAGCAATGTTTCCCTAGGCGATTGGATGGGCCTAAACATACCTCTCAAACATAAACGCCATACTTCCATCTCCAACCTTGGTAGGCTTGAGCTCGGCATTGCTGGCCCCCTCAAAGGCAGACATGTCTGGACCGTGAGCACTCCATACGTTATGCAAGCTGGCGCCGGCTGGTCGGAAGCCACCACCAGTCTTTGCGTCGTAGTCACCCGCGATCAGACCCATGAACTCGGACATAGTGTTACGATGATACCACGGGGGTCGGAAAGTGTTCTCTTGGACTAGCCAGCGGGGCGGGAAGATCACAAAGTCGGCAACAGCAGTGCCGACATGGTCGGAAGGACCAGTCAAGACGGTGAAGATAGAGGGATCGGGGTGATCAAAGGAGATAGATCCGATAACATTGAAACGGCCCAGGTCATACTTGTATGGGTAATAATTTCCGTGCCAGGCGACGATGTCGAAGGGGGTGTGGTTTTGACGAGCAGAGAAGAGGGTGTTGTTAAACTTGCTGAACAGCTTGTATTCAGCAGGCTTCCCTTCGTCGTCGTCAAAGTGCGCAATGGGAGCCTGGAAGTCCCGAGCATTGGCCAAGCAGTTTGACCCAATAGGTCCGAGTTCAGGGAGCTGATAGTGACCTTGGTACAGCTCGCAGATGTAGCCTCGAACCGGGCCGTCGGGAAGAGTCACACGGTATCGAATGCCGCGGGGGATAACAGCAATTTCATTCGGGCGTACAAGGATGCGACCGAGCTCAGTCTGAATATCGAGAGCTCCGTGCTGAGGAACGATCAGGAAGTCTCCGTCTGCGGAGTAGAAGGCCTCGTTGCCCATGTCTTTGCCAGCCGCGTAAAGCAAAATACCCAGACCTTGCTTCATTGTGGGGTCGCCCGACCCAGCAACAAGGTGGAGGCCATGCACCCAGTCTACCTTCTCATCGAAGTCAAATGGATTCCACCGTAGCTGGTTGGGAATGTGGTGGAGCTTATGTGTCTCGGTTGTCATGCGAGTGTGGTAGGAATCGGCATCTTCAGCATAGAAGTTTTCATGGGCCGCCGCGGGGAGAATGCGGTAAGCCCAAGTCTGTTGATTTTCATGGCGGGGTGCTGTGAAAGCAGTTCCTGACATCTTCTCTGCATAGAGACCGTGGGCCACCTTTTGAGGTGAGTTTTGGCCGACGGGGAGAGCACCTTCAACGGCCTCGGTCCTGGAGATTCCTTTGTTAGTTATCACGGATCTACAAAAATTCTCTCTGGAACGCCAACAGTACATCAGGACTCACTCGTGATACGAGCCGAAGCCATTCTGGTAAGTGTAAGGATCAGGGTGGGGGAAGTTAGTGACGGGCATGGTAGGCGTGAGGTAGTGGAAGGTGAGATGAGTGGATGATTTGATCGGGTTGAGGACCAGCTCTTGTCTTTAATCAAGGAAATCGGCCACACTTTCTCCGATTTACACTAGAGCATTAAGTAACACAAGCTGCCTTGAGAGTTGCCAGAGCAAATAAAGACGAGCGCGGTAATTCAAACAGACAACATCCGCGTTTATCCCCCGCCTTTTCGGAACATTCCGCACCCGCTTAACTGCGGGGAGCGCGGCCCAATTCCGCGCGGAAGAATGCCTCCGGAACTGTCAACAAGTTAAGTTCTCCAATTATACCCCTCTCTTCTTCTTTTTTGTCCTTTATAACTTTTGTGATAATCATTCATCATGGCTTCCTGGCTCCAGATTCCCAAGAACTCGCCCTTTTCGTTGGCCAACATTCCCTTCGGCATCATCTCTGCGGCCTCATCGCGAGTCCCTGCTGTTGCCATCGGTGAATATGCATTGAACCTGAACGCGTTTGCATCTTCCGGGGGCTTTTCTCAATTGCCCGCATTCCAGTCTCATTTGAGTGTCTTTGATCAGCCCACTCTCAACGCCTTTGCTGCGCTGGGTCGCCCAGTCCACCGCCAGGTCCGCGAGTACTTGCAGAACGTCTTCCGCGCCGATACCCAGTTCCCTCAGATCCTCAAGGACAATACAGATCTCCAGAAGTCTGCGCTGGTCCCCCTCTCTGAGGTGACCAACCATGTTCCCATGCAGATTGGTGATTACACCGACTTCTATGCCGGTCTCAACCACGCCTACAACATTGGTGTCCTGTTCCGTGGCCCTGACAACGCACTGCAGCCCAACTACAAACACCTTCCCGTCGCCTATCACGGCCGTGCCTCTTCGGTTGTTCCATCCGGTACCGGACTGCACAGACCCCAGGGTCAAATTCTGCTTAACCCGGCTGCGGACCCTAAGGTCCCGACTTTCTCCCCTTGCAAGAAGCTGGACATTGAACTGGAGCTGGCATGCTTCATCAGCACACCCAATGACTTGGGCAAGCCCGTCTCTATTGATGAGGCTGAGGACCACATCTTCGGTCTGGTATTGATGAATGACTGGTCCGCTCGCGATATCCAGGCTTGGGAGTATATCCCGCTGGGCCCCTTCAACGCGAAGAACTTCGGTACCACCATTACCCCCTGGGTCGTTCTGCTCGATGCTCTCGAGCCCTTCCGTACCACCGGTCTGGAGCCTGAGAACCGCGGCTCTCTTCTACCTTATCTCCAGGAGAAGAAGGCCAAGAACTGCTACGAGATCCCTCTCGAGGTCGAGGTCACCAACAAGGGTGGTCAACCTACCATCATCTCCAACAGCAACGCCCACAACCTGCTCTACTCCTTCCCCCAGATGGTCGCCCACCACACAGTCACCGGCTGCAATCTTAACACTGGTGATCTGCTTGGTTCGGGTACTATCTCTGGCGTTGAGCCCAAGACTCAGGGTAGTTTCCTAGAGCAGACTAACGGCAAGACCCCTCTGAAGCTCGCCGACGGCTCAGAGCGCATGTTCCTCGAGGATGGAGACACCGTTATTCTGCGTGGTAAGGCTGGCACAGAGGGCAACTATGTTGGATTCGGCGACTGTGTCGGAACCATCCTGCCTGCCTTCAACCCTTGAATTCGCCACGAATCTAAAATTTATATCGAGATGGATTGATGAAGATTGATGAAATTGGTATTTCTCACGCTGCAAGCTATAGTCTTAGAAACTGCAATGATATGACCCGGATATGGACCCGGAATGACCACAAATTTGAGCCTTTTAAAGTAAAGAGAAGTAAGATCCCCAGACCTAGAAATTCGGTGCCAGAGGAAGTACCGTACCCTGGCATCTCAAAAAATGACCCGCGAACCAATCATAAATTTTGAGAGCTCTACCTGGTGATACGGCATTACTCCTGCTTCACCCGAAACTCCTCGGGGGTATCAGGCTGTGTCTTCCAATGTCCCAATCGAACAGCCTCCTCCTCTTCCAGTCTGTTAATGATCCCATTTGTCACAGGGAAAGCAGTCAAATCCACCCCTACCCGCTCGGCACCCCAAGCCGCGGGAATCAAACAAATATCCGCTTGCGTGATTTGGTCCCCCACACTGAATTTGCCCGCAGACTTAGAGACAAGAGTCTCGTAGGCACGGAGTCCGTCCTCGATCAATGCCTTCGACCAGACTGCACGATCTGCGCCGAGTGGAGCCACACGCTTCAGGACCCGCAGATTCGTTACGGGTTGGATATCGCATCCGATGATCTGGGAGAGAGTCCTGACGAGAGCGCGGGACTCGGCATCTTCGGGAAGAAGCTTCGGTCCTTGGGGAAAGGCTTCGTCGAGGTATTCCAGTGCGGCGAGTGATTGAGTTATAGTCATTGGATTCCCGGACTTGCCCTGGACGACTAGGGCTGGGACGGTGCCGGATGGATTGATTGCACGGTGAGTTTCGGAGGATTGCTCATTTCGTAGCAGATTTATGAAGACTGGGTTGAAGGGGATTTGCTTTAGGTGGAGGGCAATACGTAGCCGTGCGGAGCAGGAGGAGCGGAAGTATGTGTAGAGCGTGACGGTGTCGGACATTATGGCAACTTGAGCTTAAAGTGACAGTAATAAATTGATCTGGTGATGCGAAAAGGAAAGAGGGCTAGAGATGAGTCTCGGGGGTTACTACGACATTCTGATTAGTTAAATGGAATTCAGAGTATAACTACTGCTAGTTGGTGATAGCCGTGCACTGGCAAACTCGGCGCGGAACGCATTCCGGGGGTTGTGGAGTCCCGCTGTTAGCCGTTGCTGTTGCACCCTGAAAAGTTGGAGATTGATTGGAGAGATATCATGACAAAGACTGTTTGTATGACGAAATGCCTAGAAGTAGGACAGGTTTCCCAATTTCCAACTTAATACCAGCCCAGAAGTCTCGCCTCATTAGCAGGACCGAATACCCACGAGGTAGGTTTTTCACAGTAGCCAAAAACTCCATCACCGTTATGAATGAAGAACGATTTCTGGGCCTCCTCGCACGCCCTTTTCGTCCATTGAAGCTTCGCATGAGCCTCTGCGCTTTGGATCGTCCACCCTTCAATATGTATTGCTTCTAGATTAGGAAATCCTTCCGCACTAGCCAATTCTACCAACTGCTCCATCACATCTAGTAGACCATCACTTTCCTTGTTAATTATAAGGTACAGTGTCTCAAGCGAGTGAGGGAGGACATCTAAGAGTTTCCGTACAGGACGCTCGTTTTCATCAAATCCCACAAGATTGGGCAAGAGAAGACAAATAGTCTTCAAAACGGAAAAATCAGCGAAACTCCCCATCCAATCGTCCTGCTTATCTCTGTGAAACCCACTATCAGGCTCAGCCCAGATAGACTCCAGCGTCGATTTATGAAGAGAAAGTGATTCATAAAGTCTTCGGGGTTGAAATCTTTCTCCGCGGCCCAGTGCTCCGTGGTGAATTATCCGAAATGATTTTAATGCTTTGCATGCCTGGACCCAGTCTCGCATTCCATTTCCGGCATTTGAGTTTGCCAGGTCGAGATGGATGATATTCGAGCTTTGTGGCAAGGGAGCCTCACGTCTCAGGTGAATAGAGTCGTCGGAAGCATACTCATCCGAATCATACTCATCCCCATCGCTCTCGTAGTCCTCCCCCAGACAACAGCATCCAAGCTTTCGCACTGATGGGAAACTGAAAAATGAAGTCATTCGGTTAGACGGAATGAACCCCTCAGTATCATCGCACCAGGTTGCATAGACTTCTTCGAGATGACAAAACACTGGCTCTTGCTCTCTCGCGATTCTTCGCAGCATATCTAAAACATATTTTGCATCATCCGCCCAGTTGATAAAGATTTTGCGCAAGTCTTTCAATTGTGGAATGAGCAGAGCCAGCCAAGGGTCGCATTCATCTCCTCTTTCAAGATCTTTCAACCATTCCGATTTTTCTGCTTCGGAGTATCCGGGTCTTTCAGAGACAAGTTTGAATATATGGCCAACTTCCAACTCGGCTTTGTCCACATGGATAGGATCAGCTGCACCGCAGTCCCAGTCCGCCAGCTTCAAGCACCGAACATAGCTAGCCAGCCTTGGTTCTCGGGTCACTGCATAAAGAAAGGTTACGACTTGTTGAGATGAATGATATCGTCCACAAAGAAGTACATCGGTGTAGAGGCTTTGTTGTAGGATGGTGTAAAGTCGACGCGATGAGCATATCAGATGGTAGATATCATTACTATGGAGATGCCGTGAAACTAGGTGAAGTATCTCTGGCGGGAGATCGTCAATAATCATTGCTGCGGTTTTTTGAAGGGCAAGTTGGCAGTGGAATTGAGGCATGCCTTTCCGTGAAGGGCTTCGGCGAATTTGACTTGGCACAGGCAGAAGTGGGGGCGAGCTGAGGCTGAAGGTGCTCGCCCCCACTTCTGCCTCATACTTACATGCCTTAAGTCTAAGGCATTTTTCGCCAGGTTCAACAGTAGCATTCTGTGATGAGGTCCAATCTTGTAATTCAATCGCTTGAGTAAATCGTTGTGTGACATAAGACTCATTTGCATTATCGAATGGCTGGTTGTGGAATTTGGTCGACCCTATTATGGAGCTTCCCGGCAAGGAAAGCGACATGGCGGATGGAAGATCGGATTTTTGGGGGAATAAGTGCAACCCTTGCAATACGAACCTGAAGCCAAACCCTAAAAAGATGTGTTCACAGTATCAATACTATCTGAAGCTGTTGTTGAGCCGAGCGTGGTTAGAATAGATAGAATCAATCGCGATATCGGTCCACTACCTGGGAGCCATTAGGGGTCTCTGTTTGGGTAAGGCACGTGCTATAATCGTCATACTGACTCAAACGATGAGATCGATTAGGTTTTCCCCACAAAGGTAAACATCGACGCATAGTATGATCTGGGGTAGAGGAATTTCTAGTTAATTGCTGGTAAACTTTGCCTTGAATAGAGCGTGAAGGGCATTTCAACGATAAAACTTGAAGGCCCCAATACACCAACCCTTAAGACTATTCGGTGATTGAAGACGTTCACGGTGGCCTAGATAGCAGTTTGGTATCAATTATGGGTATAAATTCATGCTCTAATGGGGTATACAGTATAAACAGATGCAGATATTTGCGCTTCCATCCCTCCAGGTGATATGCAATTCCTTCCATATTTTGCAGTTGTTTTCAGTTCATCAAATCACCATGACTAACAGCCCTGGGCGTGTTGCCACGAGCTTTCAGCTGCGACACTTCCCATGATGAACGTTCCCAACCAGATTCCACCCAAGATAGACATGAAGTATCCGACGTTCATTGTCATGACACCGAGCATCCTAAATCATATGTCAGTTTCATTGCTATCCGAAGTCCATGGTGGCTTTGTCTTCACTCTGGTTCGAGAACTTACAGCAGATACGCCACACCCGCAACAACTACCTCGTAGGTCGCGCGACCCGCCGCAGGGTTGATTCTCCATCTCCTCCAGCGGGATCCGACCTCTTGGAGTGTCAAGGCCAATCCAGATGGAGGTTTGGCTGTCTGACTGTCTTTTTCATGGAGATTGTCGAGCATAGGGTGGCCGGAGTTATCAGTAAATACCCGACCTTCTAGGAGCGGTCGAATGACAAGTAGAACGCGCAATATGGCGGCCAGGGCAATCAAGAAAATACATGTGCCGGCGTACTGGCCCTTGCTAGTAGGGGTCCAGGTCTCGGAGAAGAGTGGGGTCTTGAATGAGGTGAAGAAGGTCATCATCATATCAGACATGCCCATCATGGAGGAATCCGAGCTCATATCCATCGAGGACATGGATGTTGAGGTAGACATGGACATTCCTGTCGTTGTCGCTGTGGAAGTCATTGAGCTCATGTCCATATCCATCATGATTGTAGCTGTGGACGGTGTGTGAGGGGGAAAAAATCAACTTGAACGCGGTGAAATGTTCCCGAGCGAAGTTCGGGTCAGATATTTATGAGGATTATTCCCGAAAGAAGGGAAGACGGAGCTCAACAACGAAAGAAGCTCCGATGAGTAGATTTGAGAAGTTCAAGTTTCACGCCCAGAGGCGTTTGCCCCGAATATATCAGACGCAATGTCCTCCACAAGTCCCCAAGGTCGAGCAACCTTGGCACCGAGAGACAAGCGTGTTCCGACGTGGGGCGGGCCTATCGGGTGAATCGAATCATCGCGAAGAGTGCACGGAGGTGTGGGTTTGTGCAGACTTGGTGGCGCGCAATTCGGCCCACTTTGAGCGAAACCTCCAGCCTCAAGAGCCTCTGCCAACTCGCGCAATTCCTCTCACTCTGCCCATTTGAATGAGATACCCACACGTGGATATCTCGGGCCGCATCGCGTGGCTTTCTTTGGATTTCCTCATTGTGTCATTCGTGAAGGGGTGTTTTTAGCGAAGACAATCGATCGGGTGCTGCCGAAAGCCCTTCAGAATGCTCAGCATGGGGGGTCCACTTGGTGCCACAATTCCGACGTAAACTCCCGCAAATCTGCTCACTGTTAAAGCGCGGGGGGTATCTCGCCATCGCGGTTTGCGCGCTCTGGTTTATTTTGAACTGGGTAGTTAATTCTTTCGATGTTACACTGATAGGTCTCTTGAGGACGACCTGGCTTCTTTGGATGCATAGGTAAGTCAATAGGCCAGGAATATTGGATAGGAAGTACTAGCATATAACAAAGTGAAAAAAAGAGAGAAAAAAGGAGTAAACTACATATGTGCTCATACCCCCACAGACCCAGAACACGCGCTCAGGGACTACGCCAGGCCCAGCCTTTAGTGTGAGCACATTAAGCATATGAACTTGGGGACCCAATGGGGCCATTGATAAAAGCAATTCTGGGTGGGCCTCTAGATCAAGGAATCCCATCCGAGGCGCAATCCAATTGTTCTCTGATTTAGGGCTCCGGCTATTAATAATGCCTGTCATCTGGCAACGGATCCCACTCTGTCAATCCTCTCTCTATACACATCTCCTCCATACAAATCGTCGAGCTCGTACTTCGACGCAGGCCACTCACAAAGATGGATGCCATGATGGGGATGGTTCCGTTCCTAGACCAACCGGTCATGTTGCACTCTGACCGGGATCCGGGAAAGTGTACAATGACTCCGGAACAATGTGCCTATAAAACCCAGTACTGGGTAAATTGGTATCAAGCAGACCATCGCTATTCTTTGCCGACGGTAGCTTTCTTTCTAACTGCTATTGTTCTGTTTGCGATTGGTCATTTTCTATCCGGCATCGCCCCTCAGCGAGTCCAAAGAAGCGCGATTTGGTCGCGTTCTGTGTCTTTTCTCCGGTTCCTTTCGTATAAAAGCTGGCGAATTGCTGGCTGGAACACTCAATCCTTGGGTGTCTTCTTGCTTGGAGGTGCTGGGCTGGTCTTTTTCTTGGGTGAGCCACCGATTTTAGCTAAGATTCCTTATAGAGATAGCTTTTCTAACCTTCTTTTTTCATAGCGATGACCCTCGGGCCTCATCCTTACTACTGGCCTAACACCAAGGAGATCAGCTATGGCGGTTCGCCCCCTATCGCCACAAGAACAGGCTTTATGGCTTTGGCATGTCTTCCATTTCTGATGTACGTCGCCTTTTGTCCGCCTCTTGGCTGGTATGATGACAATATTGACCACCTCCTAGTATTCTCGGTGCGAAAGCAAACCCTATCACTGCGTTGACCGGAATCTCACATGAGAAACTCAACATCTGGCATAACTGGGTTGCTTGGGCCATGTTTGTCCTGGCTTTGATTCATACATTCCCATTCATCATTGTCCACGTCAAGAAGGGCGACCTTGTCATGACATGGCAGACTGGTGGTGTTTGGGTGACGGGTGTGGTTGCTCTCATCGCTCAGGCATGGCTCACATTCATGTCCGTCCCTTGGATTCGGTATGTGCCAACCACCAAGCTCTTCAAATTCTGTTTTCCCTCGGATATACTAATAAAACTTGTTATTCATAGAAACCGCTATTACGAATTTTTCAAAGGAACCCATTTCTTCATGGCGATGGTTTTCATGATCTTCTTTTTCCTCCATTGCGATTTCCGCATGTCCTCCTGGGACTATTTCATCGCCACCGCCGTCATCTACACACTCTGCTGGCTCTACTCCCAGTGCCGAACATACTTCGAGCATGGATTCAAGCACAAGGCTCGCCTATCTGCAGCAACCGAAGATATCTTGAAGATCACGATTGATACAAGTATGGAATGGGCGCCGGGTCAGCATATCTTCTTGCGATTCTTGACTTGCGGTGCACACGCCCTCACAGCCCACCCCTTCACCATCTGCTCTGTCTCTCAGAAGGGGCAGAAGAATCAAATGCAATTTTTCGTCAAATGTCGAGGCGGTATGACTGGTCGTTTGATGAGCTTGGCTCTGAAGACCCCCGACGCCCAGGTTCCCGTTCTACTGGACGGTCCATACGGAGGTATTCCCCAAGGGCGTCTAGTTGATTTCGAAAGAAACCTCATTATCGGCGGAGGTGCTGGTGCCGGTTTGACGCTATCCATGATCGAAGAATTTGTTCAACTTTCCCACCTCCGACCCAAAGATGAGATGAAAGTCGTTGTCGCAACCCGCGACCCTGGGATGCGTTTTTGGTATCTCCAGGCTCTTGAGGACATCGCCAACAGAAATTCCAAAGACGAGACTATTCCTCGCTTGTCAATCCATATCCATGAGACCTTTTCGGAAGAAGTTGGTCGGGAACCTGGCACTGAAGATCTCAAATTGGAAGCTGGCGCAAAGGTACAAAGGGTGGTTTCTAAGGAATGTAGCCAGCTGGCCACGGAAATGTTTGGTATTCATTTCTCCAGCGGCAGACCTGATCTTCCTGCCATCACCCATCAGATGGCCGACCAGGAGGGCGTCTCTGTCGGCATTGTTGTGTGCGGTCCCTCGTCTATGCATCATGATGTCTGCTTTGCAGCCTCGGCAGAACAAAGCAAAATCATGGCTAAGAAGCCCGGTTCTGCGAGGGAGCTGTGGCTTCACACGGAGAATTTCTCGTAAGTATCTTCTATGAAAGTACAAGTTGATTTCGAGATCATCGGTTCGCTAACATGAATTTTCCAGGTACTAAAATACCTTTGATCGGCCACATAACTAAATACCCCTAACCGATCTGCATTTTCTTGTACTTTGTTAGACCATCATGATTGGGTCTAGATTTACGCATTAGCATACTACTTATACCCCCATTTGATTCAATCGCAGTATCAATCGCAAGTTGAACTTGAACCTTTAGGAATATGATATTATTTTCATCTGACCAGCAC